GGGCCTGAGATTAGATTCATGATGTTCTGCTCAGTAAGCAAAAACGATCGCCCTAAGGCCACCGAGCCCCTCATATCACATCATACCTTTACTCGAGCTGTTGTAACCATTCAAACCCAGCACCGACGATGACAAATTTAACAAAATACAAGATAAACAAGCGATTATACCATGAATCTATTTAATATGAGTGAATCTGGAACCGCGTTCTTCTGCTCAGTAAGCAAGCCACTGCAACCAACGATATTTCGAATTTGGAATCTAAAAGCTACGAAAAAGCACTTAGGCCTTAATAAAGTTCCACTTTGCTCTTTACGCATTATTTAGGCTATCGTGCCTCTTACAGTCTTACATCATAGCAAGCTTTGACCGACGTAACGATTGTTAAGGCCCTGATTAAACAAGATATTAAAATGAAATTTCGTTCTCGAAAGCAGTCAATAATGTATCCCAAACTGGATCAAGCGTGCATTATATTTTTCTCAACATTCCGAAGCGCTCCGCCCAAGATCAAACAGGTTCCATTTTCTACAATAGGCGCTTGGAAAAAAAAATCGTAATGATATACCGACAGTATCGCTTTTCTTATGTTTTTATCTAAAACCGCAAAATAGATCACACGCGATCGAAGTCATCCCGCCAGGAAACAAACGGTTGTTTTTAACTGGAAACCATGTCAATTGTCAGTGACAATGCTGTCAGTGACAAACGTGTGTAGATTGTTTTTTTTTTTGTTTAATAATGTATTTGATAAGGCTCAACCGAATTAACTTTACAGAACCGAGGATTCTTGTAAATTTACAATACATTGTAAAACTATAGTCAAAAGGTACAACACAATAAACATTTTATCTCCCGCTATCCAATAAGAATCCTCCACCAGAACGGGAGCCGCTTCCAGTGGTTTCATTGTATGGCAGATTCGCCAACGGGGGTTAGAGCGCTTCCATTGCAGCAATGGACACAAAACGTGGTCAGCACTCACACATTTATCACGAAACGGTTGCTTTCCAAAATTCGACGACGCATCGACTGAAAGAACTGCTGATGAAGAATAATGAGGAGGACCACACAATGGTTGCTGCCGAGTAAACAGACGATCGCGTGACACACATTGAAAGTGGTCTGCTTCTGTCGACAGCCAAGTGAACACTTATGTGCAAATTGTTTTATTATTTAAATTTGAAACATGAACCACCTACTCCCAGATATTCAATTTGGTTTCCGTAGGGGCAAGGGAACGAACGCCTGTCTCACGATGCTTTCCACAGACATTCAGTTGGCTTTTGCTAATAAAGAGCAAATGGCTTCTGTGTTCTTGGATATTAAGGGGGCTTTTGATTCAGTACCGGTTGAAGTCCTTTCAGAAAAACTCCACGCTTGTGGCCTTTCTCCATTAATTAATAACTTGTTGTACAATTTGCTGTCAGAGAGCTTTTCTGGTGGAAACTCTACAGCTTCACGATGTAGCTACATAGATCTCCCTCAGGGCTCATGTTTAAGCCCCCTTTTGTATAATTTCTACGTCAGAGAAATTGACAATTGTCTAAGTTGAGACAACTTGCAGATGACGGCGTAGTGTCTATAACAGGGCCCAAAGGGGTCGACCTGCAAGGACCCTTACAGGATACCTTAGACAATTTGTCTACTTTGGCTATTCAGCTAGGTATCGAATTCTCCACGGAGAAAACTGAGTTGGTCGTTTTTTCTAGGAAGCATAGCCCAGCACAACCAAAGCTTCAACTTTTAAGTAAGCCGATCACTCATTCTATGTCCTTCAAATATCTTGGGGACTGGTTCGATTCAAAATGCACCTGGAGATCCCACATTGAGTATCTGAGACGAAAATGCCAACAAATATCAATTTTCTCCGAACAATTACCGGAACGTGGTGGGGAGCTCATCCGCAAGATCTTCTAACGTTGTACCGCACAACGATTTTATCGGTTTTAGAGTACGGTAGTTTTTGTTTCCAGTCGGCGGCTAAAACTCACATCATCAAACTGGAACGTATCCAGTATGGTTGTCTTCGTATCGCGTTAGGATGCATGCACTTGACTCATACGATAAGTATTGAAGTGTTGGCTTGCATGTTGCCACTCTCTGATCGGTTTTCGGAATTGTCCCTCAGGCTCCTCACCCGTTGTGAAGTTATGAACCCAATGGTAATCAAAAACTTTGAAAAGCTTCTTGAGCTAAACCCTCAAACTCGTTTTATGTCATTGTACTTCGGGTACATAGCCCAGGATGTCAGCCTTTCACAGCATAATCCTCATCGTGTATGCTTCTCTAACTTCGGCAATTCAGTTAGTTTTGATTTAACTATGACGCAAGAGATTCGCGGAATCCCAGAGCATCATCGTTCCATGATTGCTCCGTCAATTATCGCTGCCAAGTTTGGCCAAGTTGATTCCGCAAGATCGTTCGACTACTAATAGAGGCGTCCGCTGGTTTTGGTATTTATAACGAATTTCATAGCGCCTCTCGAATGCTTCATGCTCCTTGTTCCGTATGTGTTGCTGAGCTGGCGGCAAAACATTATACGCTAGAAACTATAGTCTCAGTTCTGTCGAGACTATTCGCTCCATGAGGCCGGTAAAGCACTCCTCGTATTTTCGCATGAAAACACGAGAGCTTCTAAGTGCTTTATCTTTAAGATCATTTGTCATCAGCTTTTCATGGGTCCCTTCTCATTGCTAGATTCCGGGTAATGAGAAGGTGGATTCACTTGCAAAGGTGGGCGCTATGGAAGGCGATATTTACGATCGACAAATTTTAGGATTAATTAAATATTGTATCGTAAATCACATTTCAAACCTCCTACTCCCTTTTTCCCATCCAAAATATTGCAAATCTCCAATAACCTCGAGACAACCGCGAGTATTCGGTCCAGTTCCTTTAAGGGGTCTCATAGCCTAGTCAGTAAAGGCACGGAATCTTTTCGGGTTGGAAATTTTCTCGATTTTCCTGGGCATAGAGTATCATTGTGCTTGCCACACAATATACAAAATTCATGCATTGGTATTGGAATCGAAAGCTCTCAATTAATAACTATGGAAGTGCATTTAAACACTAAGTTCAGAGCACGCAACCTAATATGCACTAAACAATAAGCTTGAAATGCGAATAAGTAGAAGTAGTCCTTTAACTTTAAATATAAGACAGTAATAATGTATAACAAAAATGATAACTCGGCTCTGTAAAGTTTATTCGATTGAGCCTGTACTAATAAAGTAATTATTAAAGAAAATAATTTTCATGTTGTTTTTTTGAAAAAATATATTCAAATGAAAAAGACAACCATTGGCAGCCGCGAACATATGAGCAATGTTTCAATCAAATAGGAAACACTCATGTCTATCTGGTTTGCGTTTTGGGCTGGAAATGTTCGAAAGATATTTGAATATAACTAAATATAACCATGTGAGCAGGCTCGTAAGCGGTCTCCGTAGTTGACGCATTTTCTGAGATAATCGGCTGCCTTTGCCTCCGACACTTGCAAAACAAGCTATCAAAGTACAGTGCCAAACTAAAATATCATATGACAGTGTCTGTCATGCCACGCTGTCGTCGAAGACCGTCACGTATTTATGTATTTTAGTTTTTCTCATAATAAGAGCTGCTAGTGGTGTGCTTGTGTGAATTCTGAAAATCGCAATCAACGATGTCCTAGTAATCACATTTCTGATCAGAAATGGTTTATTTCACACAAAATTGAGGAGTTACAACGAAATCACACATAGTCATACTATTATGATAGTTAGATTTCTTAGCAAAGTTACTTGTTAGTAAATTTTCTATAATTTTGTTTAACGAAGTATTCCCCTTAACCTTAAAAATTCTAAGTTATAAATTTTAATTTTGAAAAAAGAACAACCCTAGTCACTACCTACGCCAAAAGGTAGATCCTTTCTTGTAGACAAACGTTTCCAAATTTGTTAAACCTCTAGAGTGCATGGTTTTCGAGATATAGATTGTTGTTGTGAAATTTTGTGTTTTCGACCATAGTATAATGTTGAAAACCAATAAGACAAACAAGTAGAAATAATTTATTATTTTCACCACTTGTCAGCACTTTTGGGCTCAACTCAAATATGTTTATTATTATTTTCACCCCATTGCGAACACTGAAGCTGTACGAACTTGAGACAAAAAGAGAGATGTTGAAAGAATTCAGGTCACCTAACGGTATAAGATTGTTTTTGAGTTATAAAACTCTGTTGCCTCGAGATAAAAGAGATCCGTTGATATTTCAAACGAAGATGGAATGTTAAATTTAGTGTTCAATTAATAGTGTTACAACACAACAATGATTTATGCTGGTAAGCGTTCGGCCACAAATAAAAAAACTCAACGGAACTATGCATAGCCCAGCCAGGTTTCACTCTCAATGGCGTAAAACAAAACTCAACGGAACTCCACCTGATACCACAAACGGGTTCATTGTGCCTTTCCCAAATATGTTTAGCCCAGCCAGATTTCACTCTCAGCAGTATAAAGCTGTAACAAAATCTGAGTGTGCTTGGCGTGCGTGAAGCAGGATTTGCATTGGTATGAGAGAGACGAACCCAACTAAAAATGTTTGCTGATTTAAGACTGAATGAGCCATTTTTTTAGCTGAAGAAGCATATTTGTGTCTGAATAAGCTCGTATTCTGCTTCCAATGTTTGTTGGGAAAGTACTTGTTGACTCTCTCTGCAAATCCCGCCCCGCACACGCCAAGCACGCTCAGGTCTGAATACACCTTAATAGTCAACAATGAAACTACTCCGAGCACAGTCGTGCAGCTATGAGCTGTGTATAAAATGAAATCGAGAGTAGCTAGTTCGATTGACCCAATTGGTAGTTGAACTGTCCGAAAGCAATCGTGCACCTCTCTCTTTCTTATAGTGAATCATTATTTCATTTCATCGAAGCGTAGATCAGTAACCGCTTTTAGTTAAACCATTTCAAGATCATCTCTCTCTCAAGGAATAGTGTGAATTTATGTATTTACTTACCTCGAATGAGATGACTCCTTTGCTGCCATACTTGTTGAATAGATATTTCAGGAATGGGTTCTCACCGCCGGAACCGCTGGTTGGCGGCTGCTGATGGTCACTTCCGGTTACTGTGACCTCTAGGAACCCTAGCGCCAACAAAACCACCAAGCTAATTCGCTTCATTTTTCCTGATTATCGTTATGTGCACTACTAAGGTAAATGTTTTGAAACACACACGTTGCGCTTTATGGTTTGCTTTCCAAGCTGCACTCAACTACCGCATAGAGCATCAGTGACACTTTTGTTCAACAATCATATCGCTTCCTGTAGCTGTTTGCATTATGTGTTAACACGACCAACACAATGCGTCTTGGGATTGAGCAACTGTTGTAAATTTCGATGACACCACTCTGTTGAGCTAAAGCAACTAATTTAAACAGCAACGAAACTGTGACATCAAACAGATATTTTCTACGATCATTACTCCTCACTGCTCTGCTGGAATGTTTTTGAATTCGCTCAAACAATCAACAGCATCCAAGCGAAAAATCAACATACTAATGACGACAAACACTTTAATAGAACTACTTCTCCAACACTGACTACCCGGTCTCGCTGCTTCCCACGGTTAGGTAGATGGACAAAAATAAAAATAACCACGATCGCGTTATTCTGCACAACACCGGGAAGATCGCAACGCACCGATTTAGGCGGTTGGGCTGGTGTTCACCTAAATAACAGTAGGGTCTCTCTCAGCTATTGCTGCTGGAGAGAAAGAAAGAGTTGCTACCACTTTAACGATCCGATCGTGACTGACTGAAACCGTGGACAAGTGTGGCGTTGATATCCAACTATAGCCTTGCATCCAGCGTTGCCAGGTCATTTTCATAAAAATCTGGCCCAGTTAAAATATAAAATCTTGAAAAATCTGGAAGGCTCCAAAAAATCCTGTTTTTAACATAATGCTATTGAAATTAAAGTGATGTGCCAATCTCCCGTAAAAATCGGTCAGTTTGATCATCTGGATCATGTTTAAATAAATTATATAAAACAAATAACTTGTTAGCATTGCTTAAATCGTCCAAAAGTTAAGAAAATTATTGACACAGTGTGCCCAAAAATTTGAATATCCCTTACGCAGCTTTTAAAAAATTGAGTTAAATCGTTGGTAAAATACTGCAGAAAATATTTTAAGAATTGTTTCTTAAACTGTAACTTAAAAAAAGAATGAAAAGCAAAGAATCAAGCAACTTTGATGGGATGGATTTTTTAAACTAATAGTCAATGTAGTCCTTACTTTTTGATGCAGCACCGTAATATGTATTAATGATTTTAATAGTTCTAAATAATTCTAATATTACCCTGAGGTTGATCAGACTTGCAATGTAATTCTTGACATCATAGGAGGCAGAAGGCAATTTTATTTTAAAGTAAAATTCACCAGGCTGAAGTGGAAATCAAAGCCTAACATCGTGGTATTGACACACAGTTTACCTAAACTACAGGTAGCTCAACTGTGTGCATTACCAATACTAATAATTTTATTATATAACTAAAATGAAAGTCTGAAAGCAGAATTAACATATTTCCTGGGTCCCAGATCATGAAACTTTTTGTTAGTCTGAATTTACTTGGAACTCTTTACGGGATATCTTCGTCCTTTTTTTTCAGATTTCCGTTTGAATCATCCTAGAATTCCATCATACGTCTTTTTTGGATTCCCCTAAATTAATCTTGATAATAACCAAACGTTTTCAGTAACATTCTGAAAGTTCTCTTGTTATCTCTTATAAACCACTCTCCGATTCGACAACTCCCTCAAACTAGCAATAATTTCCAAGAATTGGCATAATTTTGTTTTCATGTTTCTCTATGAAATTCCATTGGAATATTCTTAATAATTTCTTTGGCAAACTCTTCAGAATGACCGTCACACTATTTTCAGACCTATCCAATAATTCCCTTTGAGCTGCTTTGTAGGTAAGGTCAGAATTGTTTTTGAAATCCTTTTCAATATTTGCTAAGTACTCAAATTCTTTGCCAAAATGGCATTGAAAGTCTCCCGGAAATTCCCAGATGTTCTTTTAGCATTATTCCGATTAAATTTCTTAAAATTTTATAAAATGAATCTCCATAGAAACATTGAACAGAATTCAAATGAAATTATTCTCACGATTCGTATCAGCATACTCCTTAAGTTTCATCATAAGAACTTTCTTTGATTTCTCTTCCGAATTCTTTTTCCATTCTTCACAAAATCTTTATGCAATTGTCATCAGAGTTTTTAAAAGACAATTGACACTGTCTTCGACCAGAGGTTGCACAGACTGAAAACTTAACACTAGAAAACTGACAACACACCACACCCAGTAGACCAGTAGGGGAATTTTCAGTTTGCGAAAAGTTCCACTGGCTGGAGCGGGAATCGAACCCTCACTTCGTGGCACTCATAATACGCCTGAAGGACGGGTGACACCGCACGACCAAGAAGCTTGCAAAGATGGATGGAACTCTACTCAGAATAAACTTGAAATTCTCCTTTGGTTTCGCAAAGATTTTGCCTCACACTTCACTGTAAACTATTTTCAACTTTACCTTAAAATTCTGAAATTCTAGGGCAATTCAGGATTCTAAAGAAATTCAGACTGCTGTAACTCAATATTCACAGGTACTTAAAAAAATGCTAAAAATTATCAGATGCTTTTCAAATTTTCCTTATGAATTGTCCTCAAAAATCTCACAAACATACTTCCAAGGCTGAATTTATTGTTGTCAATCCTGAACAGTTTTCGATTTGTCTAAATTAAAAAAAATATGAAAATTCCTCCATATTGAAATTTTGATTTTTTTTATATAGAAAATAAATAAAAATTTCAATTAAACAAACATTTAGGCCCACTATTTTTAAGAGTTTGAAGATTTTTTTCAGCGAATAATCTTTAGAAAATGGCTCCATTTTCATGATTTTGCAACCCATTAACATGCAAACATGTTGTAACAATTCCATGTACGATGTTGTTATTTCCAACGTTGATGGCTTTTAATAATTAAAGAAGCAGTTTTTATTTTTTGTTTAGAGTGTAAATTAATTGCAATGATATTTAAAGCAACATGTTTGAAAAATCTGGAAAAATCTGGAACATATTTTAAAAATCTGGAAATATACGTGATCTGTCATCTGTCGTCCGGCCAGATGACGGAAAATCTGGAAAATCTAGATAAATCTGGAATACCGGCAACGCTGCTTGCATCAGACAGCACAGCCAGTTTTCCAAAAATATCTGGAAGATTCTGGATCCTCATAAAATCTGCATTTTCATTAGTGACCGTTACATTCATCAATATATTGATGAACGTGGAGTGGAAATATTGTCAATGATATTGATGAAGTGAAGTTATATTGTGATTAATATTGTCAATCTCCATATATTGATGAAACTGATGGCAACATCAAAGGCAAACAGACGTAACTCTATAAACAAATTTTCCTTTAAAATATCGTCATGGAACTCACTGACGCTCACAGCGCTGTAGTGAGGGATTCGCGAAACTAATAATATTTAGACTGATCGTTAAATGCAACGATTGAGGAGAAAGAGCTACGTCTGTTTGTCCGTGGTAACATGGACAATACACATAATTGTCAGTATCTTTATGTGTGTAACGTCAACTGTACGAATAAATGAATCTCCGGACACACCATGGTTTTCATTATGCCCAAGAAAATCTTCAGTCATTACTAGCATAACCTTAACGCTTTAGTTGGAAAAATAGTTTGTTTTCAACTAAAAATATTATTATTTAGTATCAAGAAACTTAGCCTCTGTCCTAAAAAAAAACACGAATTTAATTTTATCATAAATAAATCGTGGCGTAAACTTATTATTCATGCAGTTTAAAATTACGTTACCTCAAGTCGAACTTTACAATGATGCAATATTATGATATTTGTTCTTCTAGAGTTTTGATAAAGAGGGTTTTATTAACCTTTTCTTAAAAAATCAATAATTGTTTACCATCCTTTTTTAAATTAATAATACAAACATAAATTTTGCTGAGATCTCAGTAAAAATAAATGCCGACCCTGCTTGGGGTGCCAATCTCGGCAAAAAAATCTAAGTGTGTACTTAACATATCTGTTATAACAACACTGAAAAAAAAAACTGAAAAAATCTTGTTCAATTTTCAAAAACAAAACTGTTTGCTGTTTGTCAGGATGCCCCTAAAAAACTGAAAGAATCCAGTTTATATCGGAATGTTGGCACCGCTGGTCGCAGCTTAGTTTCCCCATTATTATGGTGTATTCAGATCCGAGCGTGAATTAGCGGAGCGGAGCAACTTTCGCATTGGCATGAGAGAGAGATAGATGATTAGTACTTTTCTCTCTCTCTCTCGAACCTTCGCAAAATCACGCCCCGCGCGTGAAATATCGCTCAGGACGGAAACCACCTCTATATTGTTACCGACCGAGCGTGGAAGTACGGCAGGCGACACTACCTAATCATTGTGGACGACAGACAAACAGTCGACGGGAGATAATGAGATGGCAATTCAAATTATATGATCAGTCAAGGGATCCAGTCAGCATCACAGAGATATCGCACACACAACTCTCCTCGGCGTTGGACCGGGCGAGAGATCGTGGACCGTTGATGATCGTGTGGCGAGATGTGCAAATATTTTCGAATGTATCGCCCCTCCCTAATACCCCGGAACGCGAGAAAGAGAGAGAGAGAGAGAGAGAGAGAGCGGATTAAAGTGTTGTCATGTTCGGAGATGCTGTGGAACACAACCATATTATAAATTTGTGGCTAATTGATAATTTGGAATCTGTTGATGAAGTAGGCTCGGTTCTTCGTTGCGTGCAATCACGAGCCGACGAAGAGCATTGCATTGTGCGATCAATGGTTGTTTTGACGGATTTTGAGTACCGATGTAAGTATTACGATGAACATCATCCGGGTGATTGCATGGAAAAGAAGCGACATTCGATTCGTGGACTTGCATGATTGTTAAACGTTTGACGGAAACAAGAGTGAAGTTACGATGAAAGAGTGAAACACTGTCATCAATTTAAAACATTGCGAGCTGTTTGCAACAAATCAGGTAGAATCCTCAGTGCATTACTAGAATGCGTTCAGGAATCTTAATCTTCATGGTCAATCTCTGTTTATCATTATTGAATCTAATTGATAGTTCTTGACAGTTTATTCCTAAATCTACACATCATTGATTATTGTTCCTCTTCTTCTGCTATTCCATTCCCTCATAAACTTTACTCCTGTCATCAACCTAGTGTTCTTAGAACACTTTCACAGTTGTTAATTGAGAGCTTTCTAAGTCAGTACATTTTTTCAGCATATTGTGTGGCAAGTAAAAGGATACTCTATATCTATGCTCAGGGAACTCGAGAAGTTTTCCAACCCAAAAGAATCCTCCTAGTATGTTATTAGTAATAAATATTTGGTTGTCGCCTTCTAATATTAAATATTTGTTCCGATTTATGAGTATGGAGCATTTCGAGCCCAAAACGGCTAAAAAGAATGTCAGTTTTGTCTCGACCCCTTCCGATTTCAATGAAACATTGATCAAATGTTTGCTGCTACTAACACCGACAAACCGACATGAAACTTAAACTTAACTCTTGATCGAGAATCCATAACGGCCGATTCAAATGTGCAGCGATCCCATCTGTCAAAACCATAGAAATGTTTTATCTAGATAAAAATAATTTGTCTGAAATAGACCAGACACGAACCAGCTCATAAATTTTGTACGCGTGTTCGTGGCTAGGATAAATATT